GTTATGTCAGCAAACCCCTATAATTTCTGATAAGACAACCCTAATAATTACCTGATTTAGAGTTTTTAAACAGTATATTTATGTGGTACAAATTTGCAAGTGGGCTGGTGGGTGTGAACGCTCTTTCAGTAGAAGTGAGAAATTTCTCAGCCAAATCACTCAGAGGATAGAGAGCTATCATCTTTGATGAGACCACCCACAGCCAGACATAATGTCATGTTCATATTCTGCGTGAGTCAAATCCCTTAAACGTGGGTTTTTTTGCTGTTTCGAATACTCACTTTCCCATATGCTTCAACGGGCCGCAGATAAAAATGGGAAGGCTTTTGAAAATGTCACAGGCCCTGAACTGGCTATTCGAACCCAGGTATCGCTTTCTTTGTGCCATAACAGTTACTTTCCAGAAGAAGGTTTTTCCTGGACTACGCTGTTGTTTTTTGGAGCCAAATTGTGAGCACCCAGAGGGATCGGTTACAACTGCCAGCTCAGCAAGGAGCAGGTGACACACAAAAGCAAGAGGATTTTACTTGGTTCCTACAAAGCTACAGACACTGGCCTTGCTCTGAGCAATTTGGCACTCTGGCATAGACTGAGCTCTCAGACTGAGCACCTGTTTTCCTGCTTCTTTTAAGCTTGTCTCCAGACAAGGAGCCCTGAAACGTGTGTAGCAATGGCCAAGCGCATCTGTTCTGTTCTGAACTGGGTCACCAAACCAAGCAAACAACCAAAAAGCAGAGTTGATTCCAAGTCAATCCTGGCATTAGGAGATGATGGGTCCCTCCCTCCAGCTCCTCTGTGAGACCTGAAATGCCTGCTTTATGGTGATGGGGTGGGGGTGGGGGGTCCCTCCCCCCCCTCTCTGAAATTTGAAATGCTACCACAGCACTGCGGCAGGTAGCAGGGATACTAGGAAATGTAATTTCAAATGCCAGGGACCAAGAGTTATTTATTTACTTCCCTACCTGACTCTGTTGTCACAGCGAGATAAATAAATGGGGGAAACTCTTATCTTGCTCAGATTGCAGTCTCAACTGGAGAACCTGAGAGGGTCAGGGCTGCCTGGTTCAGAATACTGGCATATTTTATGAGCATGCTGAATTCATTTCACCCCCCAAATCTGTAGCCCCATGTCCATCTTCCATTACATATTGCTGAAAGTTCTTTTCTATCTTTTGTGTTTATGTATTGGCTTCTTCAGCACGGACTGTAGGAGTGTTGATTTTCTTAGGGTCATACGAATCAAGAAAGAGGAGCTCTTATATTTTCGCACCTTGAAAACACCACTTGTGTGTTATGCTCAAGGGTATTGCAGTACAGTGGTACCTTGGGTTACATACGCTCCAGGTTACATATGTTTCAGGTGACAGACTCTGCTAAACCAAAAATAGTTCCTCGGGTTAAGAACTTTGCTTCAGGATGAGAACAGAAATCGTGCTCCAGCGGCGCAGCAGCAGCGGGAGGCCCCATTAGCTAAAGTGGTGCTTCAGGTTAGGACAGTTTCAAGTTAAGAATGGACCTCTGGAATGAATTAAGTACTTAACCCGAGGTACCACTGTATGCAGTTCTGCAGTCCTGCCGTTCAAGCACAGCCTTTTATGTGATTGGGGTGAAACAGAATTGTATATTCTGAGAACCTCAATTTTCATTTCCAGTATGCATGTGGGGCAAAGTTTTATTAGATCTCAAGATTGAGAGGGTGGGATTGAAGCTGATATCCAATAATTTGGTGAAATTCTAGAAGCCAGAACGTGGAGTGATTGTGCCTAAATTCCTGTGGACAAAGGTTACATAATCCTTTGCCCTTTCTCATAACTAGCAAACGCGGAAAAAATATGAAAAATCTCTCAATTTTCACTATTCATACATGTCACAGAAATTTGAATTCCTTGGTGCATAGTTTGTAAACAGTCTTGGTTTTATGCTTGTGTTCCGGCAATTAAGTTTAGAAGCACTACAAAAAAATGGAGTGAATATCAGCAGCCTGATAACTTTGTTAATACAAATTGTTGCAGATCATTACCAACAATAATTAGTGCAGAACTCTGAAACTTGTCTTCTAACAGGGACAACATAGGAAAGATATCTCTTCAATTACTGATTTTTTCTAAGCCTAATTCAAGTTCTTGATGGTTATCTTTAAAATCATAAATGGCTGTGTGTGACAGAAAAGTTGGTTAAAAGAAGGGTTAACGCACAGCAGCCTCTGATTGGCTGAGGTTCCAGGAGGGAAAATATAAAAGGAATGGATTCTGGAGAGACAGTAGGTTGGTCGGGAAGGAGGGTTGGTTATTGGTTGGATATGGAAAGTTGGTAGGTTTGAGGAGGGAAAGGGAGTGAGGTTGGTTGATTCGGAGGTAGGTTTTGGGAATTTAGGTTAGTTAGGTAGGGAGATAGCTGGAGATTTTGGGATTGCCAGGAGAGAGAGTTGGTTCAAGATAAACATCCATTCTGAGTGTAATAAGGAAGCTTCCTTAGGAGCAGCACTGTTTAATGGGGTGTGTGTCTGAAGTAAAGTACAACCCTGGAAAGGAGTAAAACTCTAAAGCAGTACCTAAGTTTTATCCCTCTACGTTATCATGTTACCTTGGATTTTAAGTAAAGTGTTCTTGTTTATTTAAAAAGAAAACCCAACAGAGACTCCAATTCTTAGTTTTCCCCTCACGAAGGTCCCCCAACATTATACTCTGGGAACGTTTGTGTGCCTGTGGGTTAATGGTTGTTCTGAGAGGTCGGGGCAACATAATCAAGTGAGAGCGGGTCCAACGGCGATAGGGGAAAAATAATTAAGTGCCGTTGCACTCACTGGTGTCCTGTCCCACTGTGTCCCATATATTCATCCCCATTTGCTGAAATCAGGTTCTGGTTCTGGTCTGTATTCCATAACTTTCCCAAATAAAGCCATCAAGTGCTAGGAGCAGGGACTTCCATATGATGAAAATTCTGCTGTTCAATGAAAGCATTATCCTTCCCCCAGGAATTAGATGGGTTAATTTATGAATTATTTTCAAGAGACATACCTAGTGATGCTGGTAGTTTTGTATTCCATAGTTGTCAATTGCCACCTGGACAGTCTAGATACTCAGAGACCATTGGGGATGGCTAGGTAGTAGAGACTTAAGGAATATAGGTGACCACTGTGTGTCTGAGGATGTGTGGAGTCTTGATGCTGCCCCAAATATAACAGCTTCTTGTCATTCTCCCACGCCCTTTCAAAGTCCTGACCCACAAAATTCTGTTCTGCCTCTCTCTTACTATTGACACAAGTGGGTGAGTTTATACAGAGATGTGAAATTCCATATCATTGTTCCGGTGACACCCAAATATCTCTCTTTTTCCTCCAGCCCAAGTTCTCTCTTACTAAGTGTCAAACTGTGTTTAGAAACTGACTGTGGATAAGTCAATTGAAGCTAAATCCAGACAAGAATCGGGCAATAATGGCTAGAAATCCTTATGGCTGTCAGAGTAGGATTTCCCATATTGACTGGGTTTTACTTCCGAATATTTGTAGCCTCAGTATGCTTCTGCCTCCATGGGCAGAAACAGATTGAACAGATTGCTAGGGGGTCATTTCACCAGTGAAAGATCAGTCTTACTATGAAACATCAAAATAGTCAAAGTAAAAAAACTCAGAGAAATGAAGAAATCCAGGACTGCAGTGATCAGGGGGCTGGTTCATCCATGAATTGCACATCTCTTGTTTTCCCCATTACTGATAGTACTTGGACCACTGAGACCACTGAGACCTGGGTTCAAACCCCTGCACATTTTTTAAAAATGGTAATTTATGATTTGATGATAATTTTTTAAACAAAAATGGTTTCATGGCAACTTTTGAAATTCTTGTAATATTATGCACATTCTTTAAAAGAGCAAACCCAGTTTTTCACCATTTTCTTGTTATGATATCAAGTAATGGTCTTAGGGGGGAAGGGGACATGGGTGGCGCTGTGGTCTAAACCACTGAGCCTCTTGGGCTTGCCAATCAGAAGGTTGGCAGTTTGAATCCCCATGATGGGGTGAGCTCCCATTGCTCAGTCCCAGTTCCTGCCAACCTAGCAGTTCGAAAGCACATCAAAGTGCAAGTAGATAAATGGGTAGATAAATGGGTACCGCTTTGGCAGGAAGGTAAACGGCATTTCCGTGCGTTGCTCTGGTTTCGCCAGAAGCGGCTTAGTCATGCTGGTCACGTGACCCGGAAAATCTGTGGACAAACGCTTGCTCCCTCGGCCTATAGAGCAAGATGCGTGCCACAACCCCAGAGTCGTCCACGACTGGACTTAACGGTCAGGGGTCCCTTTACCCCTTTACCTTTAGTGGTCTTAGGGAACATATTTTAATATCCAGAAAATGTAACTATTTGTGAAGGAGATGTAGCCTTTGGTACCCTGTCCCTAGGCAGAGTGAGGTGGCCACTTCAAGCAGCTGATTTGAGTTGTCATGAGAGAGCAGCAAATTGTGAGTTAGTTAATTTAGATTCATTAGTACTTTATTTACAACTATTGCTCTTTTTCCTGCCATGGATGGGGAAGGGTGCTTGTGGCATCTCTCTAAGTGCCAAAATAGCATGACTGGCCTTGGGTACTATGGGTATTATATTATGCACCTTGGATATTATTTTTTTTGGGAGGGAGGCACCATTTGCTGCTCTGCCCTAAGCAGCAAAATGTAGTAACCTTTCAGCTGAAGTGGGGCAAAGGTGAGGCTCCACATATTTGGCCAAGTGTGTGGACCAAGTGTGCATCTTAGGCAGTGGTTCAGGATCCTTTGCAACACACTGGGTCCTGTGGCAGACATATAGGGTTCCTCAGCGGGGGAGGGGATGCTGAAAGGTTTTCTTGGAGGCAGAATGTTTGGGAACCACTTGTACTACTGCTCCAGGTGGTTGAAAACGTTTTAGCTCTGTCTTAGCCTTCTGAGCAATGTTTGCAGTTGACTGATGCCTTGCAATTAGCCTGTCACTACCGCATGCGTATGTTTGTCATTTTTCCCCTTTTTCCCAGGTGCAAAGAGGGCTACCAAGGAGTCCGCTGTGACCAATTTTTGCCGAAAACCGACTCAATCTTGTCAGATCCAAGTATGTCAAATGTTTCTTTTTTCCTCTTTCTTCTTCTGTCTTTATTACATGCCGGAGGTAACCTTTGCCATATGATGTGACCTTTTGTTCATTGTCAGAATTACATCAAAACCCATTTCAGGAGCTTGTAAAGTATTTTGTATAATGAAATAGTCTTGAGTCTTCCTCATCATGTTATATTTTCTGGGGGAAAGCTGTACAGAATAACATATTCCTTTAGCCACTGTCTCTCCAACAGGGCATGTGGTGCCCTCCAGAATTTGCTATACTACAGTTCCCATTAGCCTCAGCTAGAATTTCCTATGGTTGGGATGATGTGAGTTGAAAACAATACACCAGCTTTTAAGAATATATACAAGCAAAATGCTTGTCATTATAGCTGGTAGGGCATGCTTGTAGTCCGAGATGATGTGTTGGAAGAGGTCCTCACTTTACCCCACGAAAAACTGAGATAGCCACTGTCTTTTCTCAGTATAACCCTGTCCTGGTTTCAACAAGGGGATTTGTCATGGGGATTTGTTTTTCTATACCTGTATACTATCTATATGTTAATGGTGTGTAGGTGGAAATATATCACTGTTTGGTATTATTGTATGCATGTTACGTTCAGACATTACAGTAAGTCATGATTTATCATTATGGGAACAAGCCACCATGAACCTCCGGCTCACATATTCTTCCTCCTCCTCTTCTGATGTGGCTGGGAGGAGTTCAAAATTTTTGCTTTTGTCTTAGACTAACTGCAACCAAGTATTGCGTCTGAACCTGGACAAACTGTAGTTAGTTCTCCTAACTATGGTTGGTTGAAAGCAGCCCACTTTAAACCACTGTTTAGTATTGCATCTGAACTGGGCCTGTTTGTTCATTACTGAGTTTCTGCTGTTGCTACATTTGTTGGAGGGGACTTGAATAGTATTTTGTAGGGGATTGTTTTGTTTTTTAAAAAAATGATTGTCAGCTGCCCTGAGAATGAGAAAACTGGGAAGAAACAACTAAATAAATTTTGAACACATGCATCTCACTGGGGTGGGGGGTGGGCTTGAGAGATGCAACCTAGCATATTACACCAAAAGCTCAAAAAGAGGATGTACTCATCAAAGTCTTTCAGTTAGCAGTTTTACTCTTTCTTTTTTAAAATATAAAATGAAGTCCAGTGTTGATTCTTCACTGTTTTTTGAGTCTACAGAACAGGAGGTTCGTGTTTGAAAGTTGGGGCTTCTTCCCTTATGAAGGCTGGGATGTGTTTCTTCCTCTTTGTGGGTCCCCCCCCTTCTTTGTCATTTTGCCAAAGTTTCTTGACTTGCTCTTCTGTATTGTATGTCCCATGCCTTGCATTGTGGCCTTTTCTTTATTCCTTTGCCATTAACTGTTGTAGTAAGATGACCTGGGACAAATCAGCCTGTGTTTCCATCCATTTAAAACTTCATGCATCTATAAGTTTGGAAGCTGTTAGGTAGGCTGGATTCACTGAATGTACATCCCTATTGGTAAAATAGGAACAGTAAGCAACATTGACTGGAGTTCCACACATCATAGGGATCCAACTTAAAACCTGGACTTCTATTTTTGCTTGAACTTGACATAGTACAGCCTTGAAACTATTTATCAGAAGGGTAGACATTGATATTTTGGTTCTGTTGTGGAAATTAAGTCATGGTGTACTATAGGGGGAACTGCAAGGCTAATGTAGGTACAAAGAGACGTGGATGTATGGAGTTCGACTATGAAACTTTGAACCTGATAGTTTTTGAAGGTATTTGCAATGCTATTCCTCTCCACTGTCAGTTTTGGTTGCCTGTCCAGTCTTTCCATTGCAGCCTTATTCAGAAAAACTCTGTGTATTCAGCAAACACAGAGAAGTGGGGTTAGTGATGTAGTCATTGTCCCATGCCCAATGACAACTTGCCACTGGCTTATCTCTCCAGCCCCAGGTGTTCAGTTGAAGGTCTGAACAGGGAACCAGTGCATGTAGACTCCTTGCAATTACTAATCTTCTGCAATGGGGGAATCACCATCACTTGGAGAAGCTTCTGCACACACACGCCCCTGTACATGCATAGGTTCCCCATTCAGACCTTCTGCTGACCTCATGAGTGTTGTAAGTGGGGCAAAGTCATTGGGCACATGGATATTAGGAGCACACCCACTGAATATGGCCCTCCGTTTGTTCTGAGAACACTGGAGTGCTCTTCTGAATGGGGATTTCTGTCTTTTTGTAACAGTAGCTGCTGTACGGAAGAGGAGCTAGCACAAAACCTATTGTGGTGTCCAAGAAAGCACAGGAGATGAAGTAAAAATTGCTGATGTTCCCATGCACACACAAAAACACATGCAGAAAGCACTGTGGATCCTGACCCAAATGTTGAACTCAAATATCATGAGATATCACATACTAATATCAAAGTCCTGGAAATATAAACAGAATATTCATCTACTTAGAGTTACCTAGTGGATATTCATCACAAAACTCCACAGAGAATAACTGGGGGAAACAAATGTGTTTCGGTTATGGTTGCAAGAAGACTTTGACTCAAAATTTGACATGAGATTTTAGTGTGAACTAATCTTTTACCGGAAATCTTATTTAAGGGCAGTGGGGAGGAAACCGTTTGAAGGGGAGGTGGTAGTCAGTGCAGAGTTTAATACTTCTCATGCACCATTGACTTCCACTCTTCACTTGTGTCTGACATTATGTCAGCAAAATGAGCTTCTTTCTTCCAGTGAGTACTCCAGTTGGCTCTGACCCTTCGGAGGGGTACTCCGTTAACAGCCGTCATGCAGACAAAACTTGTACGTCTGCCAGTAAGGTTTGGGGGATAGACAATAGACAGTGGATATGTATCCCCACAAGCATTTCCCAATATATAGAAACACCTACTCTGCTGCAGACAAATTATCACAGGTAAAATTCAGAAGCCTGCAAGCTGAAGGGAGGGAACTAGGTCTAAGATGAAACCACCTAATATAACTGCTCGCATTCACTAAAATTTGTGACATTGGCAAAAAAATATATTTCTTATTTGCTTTCTTTGCTGTTAGTGATGTCATTCTACAGGCAAGCCAGGTTAGCAACATAGTATTTTGACATAATCCCATTTACTATGTGACTCCTAATTAGGTGGGATTGTATATGTGACTATATATATATATATAGTCACACACACACACACACACACACACACACTCACACACATATATACTCACAGAATGATCACTCCAATCCTCAATCCCTCATCACTGTCATGTATATATATGTATATCATGACAGTGATGAAGGATTGAGGATTGGAGTGATCATTCTGTGATATTACGGCAGTGGACAAAGCTGTGTGGTAACTTTTGAATAAATGTGTTTTAATTTAAATATATATGTGTGTGACTAATCCAAAGAGGAGGGGGATTGGGAGGATGACCCCGAAGAAGCAAAAAAATCAAGGGGAACAATGTTGCTGAAGAGAATCATAAATATGGTGAATGTTCACATGCTCAAATCATTTTTTGGGGTGTGCGGGTGTGAAATTTCCACATGGAGTCAGGCATTTAGGCATGCAGATTCACCACTCTTCCATAAGTTATGTACACAATCAGCTGCATGAAACAGGCTTCCAACAAATAGCCTCTTTGGACTTCAGTCAACATTGGCATATAGTCTTCATGAATCAAGGGGAAGTGCAGTGTAGCATATGCATCCTGCTGCAGAACCCTTGTGGTTCTGGACTCACATTTCGCCCAACTAGTCCTACTGGTTTCATTAAGAACACATGCCGCAGTGCTTGCCAAGATAACGAAGGCACCATCTGCATTGGCAACCTGTGTTCCTTAAAGGAATTGGGTTTGCCGTGTAAATGTAAAGCCTTTTTCCAATGTATTAGCAATTTCTGGGCTGTTTCCCCACCATCAACACCAACTAGCAATTAAATTAAAACAAAACAAGAGATCACTATCAACCTCTGGTGTATCTAGCATGGTTTTTGTCCAGGTTTTGCCTCATTTAGAAGTGTCTTGAATCCACAGCTCAGCAATGAAGTTTGGTACCTCAACTTTGGAGGGTTTTAAAAATAATAATTATTATTCAGCTTTTTAAACTGGCCTCTTTTCTATTCGTAGCCAGACTGTTTCTGAGCATACACGCATCTTTACCATGGTGCCTTACTGTTGACCCCGCTGTTCTTAATACGCTTTTCTCCACTTCTGCATTGATAGGAAGGTGAAATTGTTCCAGTAACTTGTCAGATCACATTTACTGGCCTCAAAGCAGGGAAGTTCAGCATTTCAGCAGTCATAATTCTTGATGCCCAAGGAAATGAATATAAGCAGGAGAGGTCACCTGGAGATGGCATTTGGGGATAACCATGAAAGCACTCTATATATAGGCAATTAAGTTGAAGAGAGTTTTCAAAAGATACGCCACATCTATCTTAACTGCTGTGCTCATGGTTGTCCCCCCCCCCCCCGTATTCAAGTTCCGAGTTTAAAAAATTGAAGGAGCTGGCTCTTCATGGGTGCTTTAATGTTGTCTCTCTCCCATCAAAACACACACTTAAAAATGGATGTTTGACACACAAGCATTATATTGGCAACTAAGAAACATCATGCAGTGAACCTATGAACATCATTTCTATGCAGCGTCACTGAGAACATGGGCAGTTTTCAAAGGCTTCCACACTCTTGTGCTCTCCTCCTCCACTCCCACCCTCTTTGGTCATTCACACTTTTTTATTTTTAACAAGGACACACAGGATTACATGGCTCAGCAAAGTCAACTTGACAGCAGGTAAAAAAATCAAATGAGCTTGTGTACTGATGCTTGAGGTACTTACACCATATGTAAAATTTTGGTGGGTACATAATATCTACATAGAGTATATCTATGTAGTTATCTCTAGATGCTCTAGTTATCTCCTGCTTGGACTACTGCAAAGCACTCTAAGTGGGGTTACCTTTGAAGTTGACCCGGAAGCTGCAATTAATCCAGAATGCGGCAGCTAGACTGGTGACTG